TTGACGGAAACTCCTTGCTTGATCTTCTCTTCCTCCTCTTCTTCTCCTCTTCTTCTTCTCTTCTTCACTCTCAAGAACCCTAACTTTCTCTCTTTTAAAATGGGATAAAATGATCCAAAATCAGCCTAACACACAATATAACCTCAAAAGAAATGATTTGTGAAAAGACCAAAATGCCCTTAAATTTCCGGACGGACTCCCTGCCAACTGCCCCAACTTTCAAAGGGCATAACTCGCTCATACGAACTCGGAATCGAGCAAACTCGGTGGCGTTGGAAAGATCGTTCCACAAGCTTCACAACCATAATTGGAACTACTCCTAAATCATCCTGAGCTAGGAGTTAAGACTGCTCAAAGTTGGCCAAAAACTCACTGATTTCCACACATGGCCAAATTTCCAGATTTTTGAACTTAGCCAAATTTCCAGATTCTGGACTGCCAAATTTCCAGATTTTAAATTTTTCAAAAAAAATGACTATTTCCAAATTCAAGCTTCTCCATATTCATTTTAAATTGTCGGATGTTACAGACGCCATTGTAGAAAGTGAAAAAAAAAAGCTACGGGAGTTGATTGATAGAGAGCAAAGGAGAAAGTATAGAAAGATTTCTTCATCACTTTTTTTTTGCTTTCAACAGATCAGATTATTGATTTTTTTCAATTTTTTGTTGTTTATCTTTTTTCTGATACATATGGGTTCTGGTCCATCGTTTAATATTGGTCTTACCCAATTAGTTTCACAAACGGAAGATCTCGTCCTTCGTGTTTATGATTCGAAATCGATGAAAGATGCATTGCAAGTTCTAAATTACCCATTGAGAAAGATTCCAAAAAAAAGGGGGAAAGTAGAACATGTTACTAAACAATCTTCTCTACCAAGGTTTATATTTTCAATGTATCTAATTGATTTTAATTCATAATTTAATGTATAATGCCTTCGTTTCAACACCCTTCTCTACCCAATGCTCATATTTTTAATGTATCTAGTTAATTTTGATTCATAAATTTATGTATAATGTCTTCGTTTCAACTCTATGATACATTAAATTAGCCTTTGTGAGTGTTATCACAGATCTGATACATCACTGCTACGGTAGCTTTCGTTGTTATGCAATGTGTTATGTTCATATTTACAGTATTGATACAGAACCCTAATTTTGTTGAATCTTTTATTAGTGTTTATCATGTTCAATATAAATGTACTTGATACATAAACAATACCGAATGTATCATTTATATGTATCAAGTTCTATGATGTATCTTCAATCGAACTGCATTACACTACCGAACTGCATTAAACCACAATGGCTCATGCAAACTCCGAGTTTCTCAAATCAGCATTGATATAATGATACATTTATCCACACATAACACAACCCCTGGTTCCCAACTCTTTCATCATTTCACGTTTGATGTTCTGTGATTAAAAGCAGATAGAAATGATCATCAAAACCCTCCTAAAGCTCGATGCTTTACCCTGATTTTATGATAGGCAGCAAGTTTAATGATGAAAAAACAATAAAGTATTGTGAACAAGTTTTGCCTTAGAAAGAAGCTGCAGAGAACTGTCTGTAATACAGTCATACTACTACAAAGCTATAACCATACATTGGCTATAAGTTTGGCCATTTTCTGTTTTCTCATACGGAGGAAAAAATCACGGAATGTTTAAGATGCTTTCAAGCATTAAGTCTATTCATTATGGCAAAACAATAAATATTGAACAAAGGATGCCCATAAGAAGAGAGCTTGAGTACTTAAGAATGCAGATTTCAATCTTCCTCCAAAACTATAGCAGAGGACAAGCACCTTTTCCCGACTCCGCTCAAGTTGGTTATTTCCCAACCTGTGCCTTCCTTGTAACGTTCAATCTGCAATCACAAAGATTAGTATTGATTAATGGAACCACATAGGTAATGGAATCTACGCATAGCAAGACAATGAAATAAATAATATTATGTACCGTGTCTAGTACTTCATTATCAGATTGAGCCCCTCCAATGACATAAATGGACTCCTTTAGAGCAGCAGCAGTTACATAACCCCTTGAGTAGTTCATTGGTTCCCCAATCATCCATGTTCCCCGACGAGGATCATATATCTCAACGCTTGGCATCATTTGAGACCCATCAGAACCACCAAGTGCATATCTAAAGAGCAACCATGAAGCTAAAAGTGAATAACATTAAGAAAAATGGGACAGGTCATGGACCATCCCCCTCCCCCCAAGTGATTCTTTAGACATTAAGAAAAAAGTGCAAATATATAGAATGCAAAGAAGCGAGAAGAGGTCAACATACAACTTCCCCCCCAAAGGAACCAACGCATGATATGCTCTTTTTGTGCTCATACTCTCAATTTTTGTCCAAGCATGTTCTCTGGGGTCAAACCTTTCAGCAGTCCTGAGGTGATAGCTAATAAGAAAGATGCTACAGGAGAACACAGAAGAAAACTTAAAAACAAGACTCAACTACTTTCACATGTGAAGATAATCTTCCGATTCAATGAAATAAAAGAAGTTGCAGATTTCTATCAGAACAACTTTAGCACTAAAAAGGACTGCGGTTTGGAAAACTACAAGCAACTCTCATTTCTCAGGTAATGAAGCCCAAATGTCAAGCTTTTTTGGGGCACACATTATAAAGAAATAAGAAAACAGAAATTCAGAAATAACTTACGCCAAATATTTGTCTCCATCAAATCCACCAACAGCATATAATGCACCATTGAGTTCTGTTGCTGCAAGAGAAAGTCGCTGCATGAATGGTAGACAATCAAGTCAGAGGAGATTATATTTGCACTTTGAACAAGTAAGTCTAAAGAATAGAACTAAATTGAAGACTGGACTGTAGGCAAGGACAAGAAAGAGACAAATATTGCCTTTGTTTGCTAGTAATGAGATGAATTCACTCAGCCACTGTAGTAAAATATGGCTAAACAATACATCATTTCATTTTGCAATTCTAACTAATTATTTCCCCCTACGCTTTAAGGTCTTCTCCCTTGTGTATTTCTTCATACTACCTGACTGCTACTAAGGGATTAAACTGAAAGAAGAGACAACAGAAAATCCATGGAAAACATGAAGATAAACGACCCCATAAAAACTTACTACCGAAACTAAGAGGATGAGAACAACATCCAAGGGTAATGCACATGAGCCTTCTTCAAAATATCACTATCGAAATGTAAGCAAGGAAGAGAATTAACCTTCTGCCACATGGATCGTGAAGGAATCCATTGACCTACTTGAGGATCATACATTTCAACTTCTGCAAAGTATTCAGTCCCATTTCCACCACCCATTGCAAATATCTTGTCCTTCAAAGTAGCTCCAGATTATCTTGTCCTTCAGAGTAGCTCCAGATAAGTTACTGTTTCTCTTTTTCAAATTAGAATGCACAGTCCACATATCATTGGCTGGGTTATATGATTCAACTTCACAAGAATAGAGTGGCATCAGTTTCAGCAACTTAAGAGAAAGGGGGAGGAGGGTATGTGAAGGGAGGGACTACTGGCATTACCTGTGTTGTCCCACAACTTCTTGAATTTTCCACCAAATACATAGACTTCCCTACTCAGATTTGCAATTGCAAAATATGACCAAAATGAACTCATTGGTCTAAGTGGCTTAAAAATATCAGTCAACGGTGAGTACAAGTCCAAGGCCGATAGCCAGTTATTACCATCAAATCCTCCAGCTAGGATGATTGACTCATCACAGACTATATCGTCTGACTCTACCACATTTTCACTATCGTGTGTACGAGAGGGATTTGTGGACTCCAACATCAAACATCTACCTTTTAGCAGTTTGATTTCTTCTTGTGCATTAGCCTGAATTCCATGTGAAGACAAGGAAATAACAATGGGGGAAAACATCAGATTTTCACTTCTGCAGACACATCATGTATTCAGGTAGGTATGGAGAAAACAAAAACCAGTAAATCATTTAGAAAGAGAACAGACACAATATGAAGCATCAAATTGGATAATTATTGAAATCGGCGTAAGAATACAATCATCAATTATCACTGATACATACATCTATTTTTCAATTTGATAAAGCCTTATGAATCAAGAACCTAAGGTGTTTCCCTTTTGGTCATTTTCAATAGGTTGTGCAATTGGATTTGTAGAACTTCTCAAGGGACATTTTCTGATTCCACCCAAACAACAATAAGAGTGTCCTAAACATGGAAAGGTCTGTATAGGATGCAGAGACTTCTACCAAGTACGATATTGATTAAAGAGATATTCCCCTAAACAATAAGAAACAATATTGCATAAGCAAACTTATACCCAACCCTGAAGAGTCTCCGAAAATAAAATGAATAATCACTCTTGTGAACAGATTGCACAGACTTCTGGGCAGCATTCCATTTCCCCAACACCAATAAGAGTCTTTTAAACATGGAACCCAATATGAGATGTATATTGAATGTTCAGAAAAGCCACCTCCACACAGATCAGCCCTCTCCCTTGGATAAAGCAGATAACTCTCCTATAAATGTTCAATTTCTATTTGTTCGTTTATTAACTCTTTGTACAGTAAATAGCAACTAATGTTCAATAATACTTTTCCCTGTCAAGTTACATATCTGAAATTATATGATAATAATCTTATTATTTCCTCTTTTAGAAATCATACTGGCATTTCTTTGGTATATCATCCTGAATCTTGAAGTCACCAAATTCTATGGCTTATTATCATGATTTCATCTACTTTAAAAGAAGAAGCAGAATCACAAACTCCTTTCTGAATTTTTTTATCTTGTTCGATGACTACCTACTAATAAGATCTGATAGTCCTAATTTTGCTACAAAATTCCTTTTTATCACCTATTGATATCTTAGTACTAAAAGATCCTACTTTGTTTGGAGATCTTATTCCAACGCACTCCTTCTACCATCCCCAGTCCCCCTCCCAACGTAAATATAAAGATGAGGAAATTTTTAAAAAAATTGTCACTCTTCCAATGTTTTAGCATAGAATAGATATGTCACCATAAGACCGACATTATACAGATATAAGGTTTACCAGCTTCTTCTCCAGGCCAGTCATTTTTTGGGAGTGCTGTTCCTTAAAAGCATTCAGTTCTTTCACTTCTTTCAGCAGCTGCAACAACAGAGATATTGAAGTCATATAAGAACATCTAGAGCAGAAATGCTATCATGGTTAATGAGAATTGGCACATATTACAAGAAGATGAAGAACCTGAGCTACAAAAGGAGGATAACCAGCCAAGTCACAATTGCCTTCTTCATTCTTCTCTTCTCCAGGAAGCTGTGGTTCCATAAAACCTGCTTGATCAATCCTTGCATCATTATAACTTATCCCTTCATTGGTGTTTTCCTCTGCATGCCCGTTTCTGGAGAGCGCTGGCCATTCACGATCAAGAGCTATTTCTTTAAGTTTCATGTATATAAAACTCTTCTCATCCAATGCAGCTTGAGAATCAATGGAACTGGATGGCTTATTTATCAATTTTTGTGGTTCAGAAGATCTATTTTCTGCTCTCTTGTTATTTGCAGGTGAGCTTTGGATTAGACTTCTCCAGAGTTCTGGATAATGTGGTGTGCTACTCGGAGCATATGCAAGAGATGAGAGTTGCGAGATCAATTTACTAGATTGAGTATGATCTAGCTCAAACCAGAAATGATTCTGCTTAAAATAGTTATCCTTAATTATTTGTCTAAACATATCTTCTTGCAGTGGTACACAATGCAGACGGACACGTATCTGAACCTTCAAAAGAAAAAGTGAAGTTTCAGTAGAATAATCCTAACAGAGCACGTACCATTGTGGTAATTATGGATAAGTCATGTTCAGTCAATTTAGGCTTTAAGTTTGTAAAGTTTATTATTCAGTTAGTGTAGGTCATGTAAGTTTATCTGTTCCTATTCTCTAGGAGTTAGGTTAGCACGATCTGTTTTGTTAGTGCTGTATAAAAACTCCATTGTAGGCTCATTAATAAACATACAATTTCATTCTACTTCTGTGAATTTATATTATATCAGCGCCAATATACTCTAACGTGTACGCCATCCAAGAACCAATAAAACAATTTCTGCACACAAATGGCCCCTTCCACCTCTGTGGTTACTGCCGACACAGCTCCAGTCCTCAAACATCTGATTCAATTCAACCCCTCCTCACAGCTGCCCATTAAATTGTCTGGCAGCCACAATTTTTCCATCTGGAAGGCCCAGATTGCCATGCTGCTTCATGGCCATGACCTCTATGGTCATCTTGACGGCACTAAATTGTCCCCTCCTGAAACAGTCACCACTAATGGCCTTGAGACTGCCAACCCCGAGAGGATTGGTTTCGTCAGGATAAACTGATCCAAAATGCTCTCATGGCTTCTGTTGATGCCACAATTGCATCCACTGTAGCTTCTGCGCTCACCTCCAAAGCTGTGTGGGATCAACTTCACACTTCCTTTGCGAACAAATCGCAAACCCGCATCTTCAGCCTTCATCACCATCTCAATCAAGTCAGCAAAGACCACAAATCAATTGCTGAATATGTGCGAGAGATTCACTCTCTCCGATGAACTCGCCACAGCAGGTTCACCCGTCAATAACAAAGAACTCGTGGTGAAAATATAGAGTGGCCTTGGGCCAGAGTTCCGTGAGATCTCAGCGGCCATACGAGCACGGGACTCTCCAACAAGGTGTGAGGAACTCTTTGATAAGCTTCTGGATCATGAACTATTCATCAAACATGAGGATCTCAAGAGGTCTACCACCCAGGTCACTGCAGCTGTTGCTCAACGTGTGACCAATCCTCCATCAGCCCCACGCCATAATCGACACCCACCCAACAATAATAATTGGCGTCCCCAAAATAGGCAGCCCTCTCAAAGCAACACTTCCCAGCATCCCGTGGATAATTCTCAGTGGCGCAACTTCCCACACCAATCTTCACGAGTCCATTGTCAACTTTGTGACAAATTTGGACATACGGCAAGTGTTTGCCACTCCCGGTCACATAACCACTTTGAAGCAAAAGGAAATTTTTGTTGCACAAACAACGCCAAATGACCCCTGGATTCTCAATTCAGGTGCGTCTCACCATATTACCTATGATACCAACTCTCTCCACAATGTTCAGGACTTCAAAGGGATCGAGGAAATGACAATGGGTAACGGTAATGTGATTCCAATTACTCAAAATGGTACCACTCATTTAAATGCTTCAAATACTGCTTTCAAACTCTCTAATATTTTGTGTGCTCCTACTATCAAATGCAAACTTGTTTCAGTACATCAGTTTTGCAAAGATAATCTAACCTCAATAGAATTTTTTCCTTTAAAATATCTTGTGAAGAATCTGAGTACGAGAATGTTAGCATGATGGACATCTAAATAATTGTATATATTAATGTAATTATATAGTGATATAAATTAGCATGATCATATAGATTTGTTGTAGAATCAAAGGAATAAATATTGTGATAGAATAGCTTATTTGGAGGGATAGCAAAGCAGATTTAGAGGGATTGCAGATTTGTAGAGATAGAATAGCTGATCTTTTGGGATATGAATGACGGATCTTTAGAGATATGTAATCTTTATTCTCTCTATATAATGGAAAGACTCTCTCACTTTGAGAGGCATTCAACAGAAAATTGACATGGTATTAGAGCCTTCTCTTGGCTGTCTTGTTTCATAGAGTCATTTGTGGTTGCTTCTAAATTTTTTTTGAAAATCTTGGTTTTTTGTTGACTGTTTGTCGACAATCAGTCCTACTACCTAGGACTTTTATTCTTGGTCATTCTAGTTGCTTTCTTGAATCTTTGTAGTTTTCATAGCTATTCAACAACATGAATTCACATCACTTTGAATCCTTCAGTGTTCGTTTCACTGGAAAAAAATATTATTTTTCTTGAGAGTTTCAGTTTCAGTTATTTGTCATCGGCAAAGAACTATGGGGTCATATAGATGGAAGCGATCCTGCTCCTACTGATACAACAAAGTTAGGTGAATGGAAGATTAAAGATGCTCAGGTGATGACATGGATTCTAGGGTCAATTGACCCTCTTATTGTTCTTAATATTAGGACGTGCAAAACAACTAAGGCCATGTGGGATTACTTACAAAAGGTTTACAACCAAGATAATAGCGCAAGATGCTTTCAGTTAGAGTATGAAATTTCTAATTACCCTCAAGGAGGTCTTTCTGTTCAGGATTATATTTCTGGATTTCAGAACTTATGGGCTGAATTTACAGATATTGTCTATGCCAAAATACCTACTGAATCTCTATTTGTGATCCAGGCAGTTCATGAGCAAAGCAAGCGAGACCAATTTTTGATGAAATTACACTCCGACTTTGAGAGTGTTCGCTCTAACTTGGTGAATCGTGACCCGTCTCCCTCTTTGGATGTTTGCTTTAGGGAATTACTTCGTGAAGAGCAACGTCTTGTCACACAAAATGCTTTCAAGAAAGAAAATTGTTAGAACATGAATGGGTTTATACAATCCTATTAGAATAGGAATAGGTTTATACAATTCTATTAGAATAGGAATAAGTTTATACAATCCTATTTAGAATAGGAATAGGAATACAAATAGAAATAGGAATAGTAAATAGTATCCTACTTGGAAAGTATTGTATTCTAGTGTTTATAAATAGGGTCTCAATGTAATAATGTAGACACAACAACAATTCGATAATATTTTTTCCTATATTTCTCACATGGTATCAGAGCCTCTACGATCTTGGTAAACAATCAAAGAGCTTCCGCTATCGGCGAGCGACTATTATCCATATATGTCGCCCGTCCAACCAACGATTATGTTAGCAAAGGTTGGGTCACCGTGCATCTTTCCGGTGACTATTTTCTCATATCTAATTTGTGTAGCACCGTGCTATCATTTCGGTGACTACTTTCTTAGATCTAATTTGTGTAGCACCGTGACATCATTCCGGTGACTACTTTTTCATATTTAATTTGTGTAGCACCGTGCCATCATTCTGGTGACTACTTTTTCATATTTAATTTATGTAGCACCATGCCATCATTCTGGTGACTACTTTTTTCATATTTAATTTGTGTAGCATTGTGCCATCCTTCCGGTGACTACCTTTTTTGCATATTTTATTTGTGTAGCACCGTGCATCTCTTCGGACTACTTCTCATATTTAATTTGTGTAGTACTGTGGATTTTTCCGAATTACTTTCTCATATCTAAGTTGCATAGTACTGTGTGTCTTTTCGGTGACTCCTCAGATTTGATTTGCATAGTTCCATTCGTCTTTTCGGTGACTCCTCAAATCTGATTTGTGTAGGGTTGTGCCATCATTCCGACCCTACACATATTATTCCTCTTTTTAAATAGGGTTGTGCCATCAATTCGACCTTTTCTATATGATTTCTATTTTCTAGTTGGGTCGTGCCATCATTCCGACCCTACCCATATAATTTTATTTCTTAGATTGTGACCACTTTCAGCCATCAAATCTAATACTCTGACGTATGAGCATGTTCCGACCAATATTTCGGTGACTTTCTTGTTGAATATTGACTCATCTATTGATTCCAATATGATCCATATACTTTATACTAGATTTTGAGCACTTTTTTGCTCGGAGGGAGTTTAGTAGCCTTGTATGTCGATTGTGTAAGTCAGTCTATGGTCTGAAACAGTCTTTGTAAGTTTAGTTTGGGAAGTTCAACATTGTAATTTTATCACTCTGTGTTTTATCGACATTATGTATCAAATCCAGTATTTCATGAGAAGATTAAGCATATTGAGATTGACTGATATTATGCATCAAATCCAGTATTTAATGAGAAGACAAGCACAATGAGATTGACTGTCAATTTTGTGAAATCGACTGATCAACTTGTAGATATCTTACCAAACCCCTTATCGATCCTCATATTAATTACATTTGTAACAAGCTAGGTACATGGAAATTATGCACTAGCTTGAGGGGGAGTGTTAGAACATGAATAGGTTTATACAATCCTATTAGAATAGGAATAGGTTTATACAATCCTATTAGAATAGGAATAGGTTTATACAATCCTATTAGAATAGGAATAGGTTTATACAATCCTATTAGAATAGGAATAGGTTTATACAATCCTATTAGAATAGGAATAGGTTTATACAATCCTATTAGAATAGGACTAAGTTTATACAATCCTATTTAGAATAGAAATAGGAATACAAATAGAAATAGGAATAGTAAATAGTATCATGCTTGGAAAGGATTGTATTCTAGTGTCTATAAATAGGGTCTCAATGTAACAATGTAGACACAACAACAATTCAATAATATTATTTTCCTATATTTCTCACAAAAATGATGTCACTGTTGCATTTGCTGCTCAAGGTAAAGGAAAGGGCAGGGATATGACTAGAACTCAATGCTATAATTGCAAGGAATATGGTCATATTGCTAGCAATGGTAGCAAGAAGTTCTGTAATTATTGTAAACAACAAGGACACATTATCAAAGAGTGTCCCACGCGCCCTCAAAATCCTAGGGTCAATGTTTTTCAAGTTGAGATAAATAGTTCCACTATTGATAACTCATCTTCAGGACAAGTTCTTACTTTTGAAATTGTACAACAAATGATCGTGTCAGCCATTTTAGCATTGGGATTACAAGGTAATGATGTTACATCTAATTTTTAGATTGTTGATCCAGGTGCTTCCAATCATATGACCAACTCAACGAGTATCCTAAAAAATGTTCATAACTATCAAGGTCCATCACAAATACAGA